ATGAACGGGTTTAAGAGTTTTAAGAGTTTAAGAGTTTAAGAGTTTTTAAGAGTTTTAGCCAAATGCATTATAATATAGTATAGATTAAGTCTCTGCACTGTTTTTTTGAATGAAAAAATCATTAATTTTTTTTTTTATTTTGACTCCTTAAGTCCCTAAACATTATTTTAATAAACAAACAATCCCACTTTTAAAAATTAGTTACTTACATCTTTTTAACCCAAAAAAGTTACGTCAACCGATTAGTAAAAGTTCGATAGTTTATTTATTTACAAAAAACAAGGTCTTAATCATTCAAAATGTGAAAGTCTAATGATTTTTCATTCAAAAAAATAGTTAAACGACTTAACATTCAAAATGAGAAAGTTTAATGGTTTTTTCGCTAAAAAATAGTTTAAGGACTAAATCATTCAAATAAGAAAGTTTGTTGCATTTTTTTGGACTTTTTCCTAAACCAAAATAACAAAAGTTCAATAGTTTATTTACTCAGTTTTTCCCCATAAATTCAATCAAAACTCATTGGGTTTTCTAAACTTTTTTCATCAAAATTTCATAATCAGTTACCATCATTGAATCCATTTGATATCTTGACCAAAATTTCAAACGGATCAAAATCTTATCAAAGACCGAACCTTTCAGCGAAAGCGTTATGGAAAAAACCGGATTGAAATATAGGCATGGATATTCAGGTCGAAAAGAATGACGCGGATCATGTCCTTAGGCCGTTGAGCGAAACTCTTGATATCTAAAATTGATATTCAAATTAAAATACTTTAAACCGATCAGACCAATTAAACCGTTACGGTTCGAACCACTTACTTACTTTAACCATAAAACCATACATCCGGTTTTTAATCCATTGAAAATGGTTTATATCGTAGGGAACAAATGATTCAAATTCAAACACCGTGGCGTCAACGTTGGCCTTTTTTAGTTTTCCGTTTTCGTAAGCATCGCTTGTTGTACATCGTGCATTAGAAAAAGTACCTTCTGTAACTGTAATTTTAATAATTTACTCAAAAAAGAATAATTAATAGTTGGTGGTGGGTCTACCGATTTAAGCTTCTTGAAGCATAAATTCAGCCACTTGTCGACCATTGTATGGCTAGACGTTGACACATCATACACCTATTTTATTCATTACTATATATAAATATTTGCGTAAACTACAAATATGTGAATATTTATTTATATTTCCATAAAATCATTTCTTTATTTTTTATGTGAGATTTTGTGTTCGAGTATTTTATTGTAAAAAATATATATTAAATTTAAAATTAAAAGCTAAAAATTAAAAAAATGACATAAAATTAGAACATGGATTTGAAGCAAACCAATTATATCAGAAGAAACGTGTATCATTATTATTATTGTTTCAAAATATATACGGTTGCACAAAACAAAATGATGTGGTGATACCTTTCATGACCCTATAACTCGTTACACTACGACGGAGGAATGATGCGAAGGCGCATGCCGTCATATCGAATAGATTGTGTCCACCCGTGGACTTCATACCCAACTATGAACAGTGTCACTAAACTTTATTAAGTACAATGATACTTACCGTTTGAAAATGATACTTTAACTCGATGCTGTTAAAAAATTTCACTTAAATGAGGGGTATTTTCTTTCGTTTACCCATTTTTTTTGTCTTGTTTCATACCCAAATAAACGATTTTAATTCGATAGACCATTTTCAAAACAAAAATACATACCATATTGACTATTATTATCTATATTATATTATAAAATATTTGACAAGAACTCTTAAAAATCATTTTTTATGTATAAAGTACTGTATATTGATGCATATTACTTAAAAATGAAAATTATAAGTAAATTATGCATAAATACAACTTATTAAAGCTCGTTGTTTGAATTCGTATAACTAACTGCGGATAAACATAATCAAATAAAGGATAAACATCTAATTCTAAAATATAATTAAGATAATTATCGAGTTCTAACAAAATAATTAATTATTATTTTTATAAGAAAATTATATTATTAAACCAAATATAAATTACTTCGTTATTAAACATAAATTAAATTATAATAAAAAAATTAATAAAAAAATTACACAAAAAATAGGAATTTTAAATAGTTAACTTAATACTAATATCGATATATTTTTGTCAAATTTTTATGATATCCTCAAATTTATATTTTATTTAAAAATAAAAACATTATCGTTTTTTCAAAATCACATAAGACCATACTATAACATCGATTGAGATAAAAAATAAATAAAATATTAAAATCAAGATGTAACTCGCTGCATTACGCAAGTATCTTTATAATACTTAATAAAGTTTTGAAACATTGTTCATAGTTGGATGTAAACTAGCAGGGGGACCAAAATTATAATTTACTCTAAATATTTACATAAAAATTCTTGATTAACATTTAATTTAAAAATACCTGAAATTAAAGTTGTATTTATTAATTCAAACATATATATCCAAATACGTGATTCAAGGAGATACTCCTTACATTTGAATTTTTGAATTCTAATTCAAATATAATGTATTCAATTCGGTTAAGTAATTTTCGATTGTACCCTTTGCAACAAAAGTTGTACCTATGGTCAAACCATGGTCAAAGACAAACGATTTTTAAACACTTGTACCGTCTGCATTGAAACTTGTACATTTGGAAACATATATATATATATATATA